TTTTTTAGACGGAGTCTTGCTCTGTTGCCAGGCTGCAGTGCAGTGGCTCACTGCAACCTCTTCTGCTTCCCGGGTTCAAGCGATTCTCCTGCCTCAGCCTCCTGAGTAGCTGGGACTATAGGTGCCCATCACCATGGTCAGCTAATTTTTGTATTTTTAGTAGAGACAGGGTTTTACCATGTTGGTCAGGATGGTCTCGACCTCTTGACCTTGTGATCTGCCTATTTCTGCCTCCCAACATGTTAGCATTGAAGGCGTGAGCCACCGTGCCCAGCCCATGCCCAGTGTTTTGACTGGTAGACTATGCTGGCAAACATGTTTACAGCCTCTGCTCTAAGCATGGATGTGTCCTGATGGGCAGTTTATCTTTCCCCAGGGTGTCTGTCCAGTTGGAAAAGAGAAAAAAGTCAGGTTCCTTCCAGCTCTGCATTGCAGCTTTGTGTCGCTCCTAGGTGATGGAGAGATGGTGAACTTAAGAATATGGAAGGAATCTGTTCTGTGGCCCCACTGTCTTTAAAATAGCACTTAATACTTTCTCTCCAAAAAAGGGCTCTTCCAAGCCAGTCTAGACATTTTCCCCACTAGGGAGAATTCTGTACTGTGACTTTTGAGATCATTGGTGAAGAAACGAAAAACTGAGCCTGATTCTTGGGCTGACTTCAATGAAGACTTTGCACTCAAAATGCCGTGTTAGATTTCCTGACTTCAAGGTCATGGCCAACAGGCCGTTCGGGTTTTTTCAATGTCCTGCCTGCCAAGAAAACTGATAACCGCTCTTCATATCCTCTGGCAGTCTATGCTGATTGTAGGAATGGGGTGTGGATTATACATTGTTGGGTACAATTACCTCCCAGAATACAATGCATCTTCTTTTAGACATCCCAGGGAGATAATTTCGACATAATGAAGATCTATAGTAATCAGATAATTACTATCGATTGCTCTTTAGACGACTTGATGAGGTAATTAGGGCGTATGGAAAGAAGCTGGAGCTGATTGATTGGCATGACTGTAATCTCAAAGATTTCTAATTATGTTTCTTTTCTTCTAATGGCTTATAAACAAACATCATTTTAGCTTTAGAATTTGTCAGGTGCCAGGTTCTCTGGGAACATCAGCTTTCTCTATTATGCTAGACACCCAACATGATCAACATAAGCTCATTATGCCTTCCTGCTGAAGCAGAAGAAACTGCAATTAACCCTCACTTCTCTTCTTCTTCTCCACTTCCACATGGCTGGATTCTTGTCTGGAGTGGAGTGGGGTGGGGTGGGGTGTGCCTCGTTCTGTGAGGAGCATGTGTGACTCAGGGCTGGATGGGTTTGTATAGCCTATGGGAGACCCTCAGAGCCTGCTGAGCTCAGGCACAGCAGACTAGGGGCACAATGACACAACATGTATCCAGGTGGCTGGCTGACTGTGGCTGGGGCTGGCTGACTGCTTGCGCTCCTGTCACAAGCCATAGCTACTCATCAGCCAGCAACGTTAAGTAGCAGGTCAATACTCTCAGGCAGCTGGACCACACACTTGTCTGTCAGTGTGTTATTGCCTCATCTCTTCCATTAGACACTAATTAGAGGACACCCTGTCTGAAACCACATTCCACATTATCCTAATATTTTTGACACTTTATAGGACCTTTCAGCAGCTTGCATGATTCAGAATAGTGGCCTCACCCAAAGATGATGGATGCTAAGAACCACTAATGCAGCATCTTGGAATGATCTGTTTGCATGTAATCAGTGATGGTGATAAGCACCACACTTACTGCTCTACAAGTGCCTGGGTTACAATGCATTCAACAAATGCAAGGTGGATGCATTTTTCTGAATATGAGGCAGTCTGGTTCTCATGCCTGAAATTGTCGACTGTGACTCACCTGTGCTTGGTACCCTGGTGGGTACCCAGTAGATGAATGTTACAATATGAATGAACACCTGTGTTCTTGAACTCCCTGCTTTTTATTGAAATATCACCAAAGAAAAAATTATATCTTGTGTTTTTTTTATAAAATCCATATATTCCTGGACCCTTATTTTAAAATGGGTCACAAATTTCCTACCCCCATTAAAATTTTTTGGGGGTACCCAGTAGATGAATGTTACAATATGAATGAACACCTGTGTTCTTGAACTCCCTGCTTTCTATTGAAATATCACCAAAGAAAAAATTATATCTTGTGGTTTTTTTTTATAAAATCCATATATTCCTGGACCCTTATTTTAAAATGGGTCACAAATTTCCTACCCCCATTAAAACTTTTACGGCAGCCGGGCATGGTGGCTCACACCTGTAATCCTAGCACTTTGGGAGGCTGAGGTGGGTGGATCACTTGAGGTCGGGAATTCGAGACCAGACTGGTCAATATGGAGAAACCCCATGTCTACTAAAACGATAAAATTAGCTGGGCCTGGTGGCACATGCCCCTAATCCCAGCTATTTGGGAGGCTGAGACAGGAGAATTGCTTGAACCTGGAAGGCAGAGGCTGCAGTGAGCCGAGATCGTGTCATTGCACTCGCACTCTGGGCAACAAAAGCGAAACTTTGTCAGAAAAAATAAAAAATATAAAACTTTTAAGACTTGAGAGGAGTTGCATGGGGGTGGTTCAGACAGCAGAGGATACCCAAGATAATGTGTTCATTGTTGACTAATGGTTTGCTGCTGTTTGGATAATTACAACTGCATTTGGAAATGCTTCATTTACTCCCATTAACTAGCCTGAGAAATGGAAGTATATATAGAATTTGTCTCCATGTTGTATCTGTATAGTATAAATAAATTATGTAGCAAATTTTTTCATCAGCTACAATTCTCGAGAAATAAAGTATTCTTTTGAAAATGTAATTTGAGTAACTGTTTAGTTCAATATTTGGTGTTTAAAACCTTCCTAATCTGTATCAGAATATTTTCCTTTAATAGACATATAATTAATAAATCTAATTTTTTTTAATAATCGGGAATTATGCAATAAATCATTGTAAGCAAAATTTTTTATTTCTGTACTTGAAGAAACTATAAGAGATTGAATTAAATGTCTAAAACAGGTTCTAATTTATTTGTTAGTTGGTTTTATCAAGTCCAAGAAATGAGTATCTCTTCTAGTTATTTGTCCCTTTTCCTAAAACTTAACTGAAAATCCAATTTCTTAGCAGTCTCTCTACATTTCTGCCTATGTTTTCTTTAATTTATGGCTCTCTGGTTGTGAGTTCTGATGTCACTTCCCTGTATTTGATGAAGTACTCTCCTCATCAGTAGGGAAGGGCAAACTCCACTGAATTTGCTCCATGGCAGTGTGACATAGTTTGCCAAAATATCGTTTATTATTAGGGCCTGGCCCTGTACACAACAGGAGTGGTTTTAGTTAGAGGGTCTCAAGGCTGCAAAAGTGGGTGTTCATGGCGTTGCCCAAGTTCTGTCTGCCATTCAGGAGGCAGTAAAGAAACGTACTCAATGAGCGAGCTGACAGAAGTGGTGCCATTCGATAACGTGCTTGGGTTGGGGCATGTCATTACAGGAAGTTTTACATCTTGAGAGACAGATGGGAGGACAGCTCCTAGAAGAACCTAAGGCTCTTCATTTTAAAGGCAGCACCCACAACCTCCGCCTGTCAATTCACGATATCGCCCATTCCCTCTGGAAGAGCAAATTGCTGGCTAAATACCAGGTAAGGTTCCCAAACCGAACAGTATGTCTGAAGACAGCTCCAAGAAAGAGGACTAAAATTACATAGATATAAGAAATCCGCTTCCTTGAAATTAATCATATGTCATTCTTGTTTCTCCAAAATAGTTAGGGGTTATTTAGATTTTTTGAGAAATACAGAAATATTTGAAGGAATGCTTTTTAAAAAGTCTTCCTTTAAATAAATATACTATCATTGTTTCATTTTTATTAAACGAAAGACTTCCATCATTTCAATTAATTTTCATACTACATGTTCATATCAATGGGTAAAAACAGCTTCAAATGCATTCACAGAAACAAGCAGAAGGACGTTTTTATTCCATGCCTTCCTAGACCAGTACCATTACATTGAAAAATCAGAGGGAACCCCAGTTCGGAGAACTGAAATAGCATGTCAAAGTAAAACCCAATCAGGATATTATTACATAACAGGCAAGAAAATACTGGTCCCAAGTGTCATTGTATGCACCTGGGGGAAAATCACTAGACCCTCAAGGAATTTTCCCCTCCTCCATCCATCAGCCTGAGCTCTGAAAAGACTGCTGTGATGGGATTGCAGGCCTCATATGCAGACATATTTAGAGAGCTGTGAATCCACGTTTATATTTATGTAAATTCAACCTAAGCCCCAGCATTGCGGTTGAACGGGTAGCTGTTTCCCGGTATAAGTCCATGAACATACTGGAAGATGGGAAGATTTTCAGGCTCCATTCTTACTCTCATTGGTCAAGTTCCTGCATGTGAATTATGGGAGACAAGACTAGTGGTTTGTTAACGGTGGGGGTTGCAACCAGATCTGTGCATAGCTCAGTCTTTAATGGAGACAGAAAGCTTCTGACTTACCCAGTACGTACTCTTTGTTTTCTTCTTCCCTTTGTGTTGCAGTTGTCATAGAATTCCACAAATCTCCCTGTTTTAAACGTAATTTCCTTTACACGATTATAAGAAAATGCTATTTTAATGGTAATATGATATTAAAGCTTAGCCTGGCTGAATGCTTACCATCTGCCAGACACACTCTTTATACGTTGGTATATCTCATTTAACCCCAGCAGACCTATGAATGAGAAACCCTTTTACTCTTTTGCAGATAGGAAAACTGAGCAATGGAAAGATTAAGTAACTTGTCCCTGATTACCAAGTAAGCGAAATAAGGGGTTCCCGTTTATACTGGATTTGGCTCCGAAGCCACTGCTTTTTACCAGCACACTCTTCCAGTTTTTATGTGGCAACCTTTTCTTTCCTTTATTGAAAACTGATTCTAGGATAGGCTCTGTAAGGTGGTCTATACTTTGAGGAAATTAGTCTGTTCAATGCCTGGTGCCATGGACTTTTCTGTGGCAGCTAATCGAGTCTGAAGTTTTCACTTGCAGTGGTTTTGGCTCCCCCTGCCCTGCACAGAGGAGGGTGTGAGCATGAAAGGGGGCGCGTCAGGGCATCATGCTTTAGACTTGCTTTGCATTTCTCCAGAAGGTCACAACAGGGATTCTGTTAATGAGCAATGGCTGGTGTGTGCAGGTTTTATTTTGGGAATTTTATAAACTCTTTTTTATCACTGACAATGGCTCTTGTTATAAATTAGAGACATGTGGCAGACTGGTTAGGTACATGGATTCTGGAGCCTGACTCCTTGGGTTCAAATCTCAACCCTGCCACTTACTTGCTGTGTGATTTGCTGTAAATTATTTAACCTCTCTGGGCCTCAAACGTTTCATGTGAAAAGGGGCCAGTATGTACTTAAACACAGGGCTGTTGTGAGGATTGAATGAGGCAGTAGGTGTGGTGCTGAGAATGCCTAGCAGCAGATCATCTGCAAGTCATTTTTGGTATTAGTCCTTCATTTGTGGTTAACACTTTTACATCCTTTAGGAAATTCCTTTTTACCATGTCTGGAGTGGGTCTCAAAGAAACCTGCACTGCACCTTCACTCTGGAAAGATTTAGCCTGAACACAGTGGAGCTGGTTTGCAAACTCTGCGTGCGGCAGGTGGAAGGAGAAGGGCAGATCTTCCAGCTCAACTGCACCGTGTCAGAGGTAAGCAGCTCCTGTCTGTCTGAAATCAGGGGAGCGGGTGACCCTCAGGAGGAGAGAGTGTGGGCTAAGATGGTATCTCAATGTAGGCCATATGGGAAATCCTGAAAAGCTTTTACAGATCCTCTCTGTTAATAGAATAATATTTTTAATAAGCAGGGGAAGCTAGTTGCAGAAAAAATATATATATGAAGGAATCCTCTTTGAAAAACAAGTCAATTTTTCTGAGATGAATTTTAAGAGTTATGTTCTAACTTTCAAAAGCAGATCTGAATTTCAAGTAAAGGTTTAATTTAGGGAGCGTGCACATGGAGCAGCTTCTCCCCACACCTCCCTTAGCGTGCCACATTCCCCGCACCCTCCATCCATCTCTCCTCCCTCTCTGCTTCCTTCTCAGGAACTCTCCTCCCTTTCCCCTCATCATATGCTACTGGGTGGGGTGGAGGAAGGGAGAGGGGCCTCTCTGCCCCCTCTTTCTTCTTTCTCCCCTTTTCTCCATTCAGAGTAAGAAAGGAGAAATCTCTTGGTCTCCTTTCTCTCTCATCTATCATTCTCTAAATATAAAAAGAGATACACTTTCCTCTGGGGTGGGGGAAATATCCCAGAAATAGAAGTAGAGTCTCCATATCCCCCCCTCCACAGTGGCCATCAGCTTTGCCTTCCTTTGCTGTGATCTTCACATACTTCTGTGGTTGGCCATTTCCCTGTGTCCATATTACAGAAATAATAGTGATCACTGCTATTTAAAACTTCTCCTTAAGAAAAGAGGAGGTGCCCATGACCTTCCTTATCTGTTACCTTGGATCCAAAGGCTTAAAAAGTGATAACCTTATGCCCAGGAGGAACAAAGGGAAGAAAAGAAGCCAAATGGGCAGAAGGCAGCCTCTTTTGGGCCTCATGGAGCTAAGCCCCGTGCTGCGTGCTAAGCCACAAAGCACAAGATTGCCACATGTGAAAGCGACAGAGAGCCAGTATATGATTTAAAATACTACCTCTCCCTCGTTGTCTCATGCACAGTAACGAATGAAATATCAGCATGTTCAGCTTGTCTTGCTTGACATGTCATATTTAAAGACCATCTTCCTTAGCAAACCAAGCCAGGAGAAAAGCGCGTCAGCCTCCGCGACACGCCATCCTTCTTTCCCACAGCCCGCCGAGGTGCGGTCATCGTTTCCTCCCATAGTTTCATGAGACTTTTGACTCATAAACAACTTTAGTCACAGCCCCCGGTGACATTCATAAGGAATGATCTCGGTGTCAGGGTGCCATGGCAACCGCCGGCCCTCGGTTGCGCAGCCCTATCTCCCAGGCACACAGCACCACCCCTGCTGGCTCGGGAGGGTGTTTTCACTTTGCAGGCCCAGCAGGTCTGCAAAGTTCAATAACCACCCAGCTCCAGTGACAACAAAGGCTGCAGAATTTTGGAGGGGGGTGAGGAGGTCTGGTCCTTTGATGCTTGCTTTCTGTTCTGCGTGAACATTGGCTGTGTGTTAAAAAGGTGGATCAGATGCAGCCACAAATGAAAAGAGAGCAGCTCCATGCTCTCCCCCGTCAGGGCTGCCACCGCCCTTCAGAAAAAGGACAGTTTTGCATAGTGTGATCACAATTTAAGGGCTTGCTTTCTTGTGGAAACCTAGAGGAGAGATTACTTCTTTTGCAACCTGGTGGCAGTCTGCTCTAAGAGACTGGCCTTCAGTGATGTTGAAGGCATTTGCCCGTGTGTGACAGACAAGCATATTTAACTGAGGGAGGGGAAGAAGTTAGCGGAGTCAAGATGACTTTGGGGATTAAGGGGCACTCTGTGGCTTTTCCTTCTGGGTCACTGAATCCCACTGTTGTGGTTAGCATTTGAATGCGGGTGCTGGGTGTGCAGAGGAGGGAGTGTGGATGGGGGTACTGATGTTGGAGAGGAAGCCTCTGAGCTGAAGAACAATAGACTCTAGAGAGTTCTGGGACCCAGCTCCTCATCAAAACCTCCAAGAAAGGGTACAAGATGATTGACAAACCATAAGTAGAGAAAAGGATCCATTTGTGATTTCTTTCTTCTGAACAAGGCTCATTCGTAGGGTCACAGGGCAAGATGGCAGTGGGCTGCAGTTCCCATTCCAATATCCTATCTCCCAGGAATGAGCTGACTTGCTAGAAACGTGCTGCCCTTCTCACCAGCCACCCACCACCCAGTGTACTCACCCGTCGACATTTATAAAGCCACACAGCCCTTGGCTTCTCCTGTCAGACAGAGGACCTGTTGCCCACCCCAGAGACCAGGCTGTGCGTGGCATCTACTCTGATTATTTCAAGGGCCAGCCAATTGTTTCTGGGTGCTTTGGCCAGAGATTCCTTAACTAGAGGCAAAGGCTTTAATTTCACAGAGATGAAGTTTAAGAAGGAAAATGTCTGGAAGGCTAAATGTATTAGCGCAAATGAATGTCAAAATGTAAAAGAAGATACTAGATTTTTTTTTCCTTTTTTTTTTGTTTTGGTTTTTGTTTTGTAGACAAGTGCAGACAGAGTAACCAGGAAGCTTCCCATTATCTCCAGAAAAAAATATGGTGCAGAGGAGAGAGAAATTTATAATTTTTTTCACATCTTCTATTTTGTTCCGGTTACAGGCAGGTGTCCATCATGGGAAATTCCCAAGTAGACAGTTACATGGAGATATGGTCAATTACTTAAATCCTTTGTTGCCTCAGTTTCTCCATGTGTAAACTGGTATAGAATATTATCTTGGGCCTGTTGTGGGAATTAAATGGGAGAATGTTAGTAAGGGTTCTAAACAGAACTTGGCCCAAAGCACATGCTTCATCTATGGTCACCATTTTCATTGGTGCCATAGATACCATAAGGATAACAGGGCTCTTGAATCAACTTTGCTGCTTCAATCTGTGGGGTCTGTCATCAGCTGAGGTTTCAGATTTCCCATCTATCAAAATAAACACAAAAATAAAACTTAGATACTATATAAATAAATACATGAAAATGAAATATAAATAAACAAAAATTAGCTCCCAGAGAAAAGAAGGTAGCATGTATCCCCAAATTTGTTTATCACATTGCTTTAGTTGAAGGCTTTGAACCCTGAAAAAAGGTGCAGCTTTAGGGGACAGTATCAGTCATCTTTTTTTTTTTTTTTTTTTTTTTGAGACAGAGTCTCGCTCTGTGGCCCAGGCTAGAGTGCAGTGGCACGATTTTTGGCTCACTGAAACCTCTGCCTCCTGGGTTCAAGCAATTCTCCTGCGTCAGCCTCCCAAGTAGCTGGGATTACAGGCATGTGCCACCACATCCAGCTGATTTTTGTATTGTTAGTAGAGATGGGGTCTCCACATGTTGGCCAGGCTAGTCTCGAACTCCTGACCTCAGGTTATCCATCCACCTCAGCCTCCCAAAGTGATGGGACTATAGGCGTCAGCCACGGCACGAGACCTCTTCTACCTTAATAAGAGATTTATAGGGAATAAAAGCAGTTATAATTTTTACATTTGGTAGATTTTATAACCTCTTAAGAAGTCGTGATGCATAGCACTTTTGTATACACAAATAATATTTTAAATGAATGTACGAAGTCACATCACTCTGCTACAGCCATTTCAACTGTTTACATCTTCTGCTTTCTATAACCTGCTCAAAATGACCATGGGGAAAATCTAGTTTTTCTAAGTGACTAGGAAAAGTCTAAATATCAGAATAGAAAGTTGTTTCAGGGCTGTGGAGTCCTGAAAATGTGTGTTATCACCCGCGGCAGCTGTTTGACTGACTTTGAAAAAAGTCATATGTTTACAAAAGATATCATAACATCAAAGACCGATCATACCAATATCATAAGTGATTACTGAAATAAGTGTTCTGTGAGAGTAAACTCTATTTTTACCTGGAAGTAAAGGAAGAACTAACAGCAACTGAAATTACTAGATGAAATGTAAACGTATAAATGTATTTTACTTTTACCTTCAAGGCTGTTGTCAGCCACTTGATAAGACAGACAAAGAAATGATGCCTATTGAGCTTGTTCCATCTACACATGATAGGCAGAGCAGCCAGGAGAAAGCGTTCAGGACTTTAATGCCCACATGAAATGCTGATAGTTCTTTATCCACAAGAAAATGGGGATGACATGAATGTGTGAGCAGGCCTTCCCGAGATCCATGCCTATCTTCAACTGGCCTCTCATTTCAGAATTTAACTGAGGAGAAACTCACCCGTAGCCACTTTTACTTGGACGGCAGCTCAACACACTAGTCTATGGCTTCTATCAGGGACTGGCTTCATCTTCTTTCTGCGCTAAGAAAACATGTTTTCTCTCATTTTCACAAACATTAATTGAGTAGCCTCGGTGTGTGGGGTGCAGTGTTATCACAGAGGTCTGAGGATGATGCACTCTCACCAATAAGATATGTGAGAAATGAAAGGCAGTAACCTGTCAACACAGCCGATGTGCACGGCGTGCGAGGAGCTGGGAGGCACCGGGGAGGCCTCCAGGCCTGACGCCTAGGGTGAGCTACCCACGGTTGCCCCAGGGTACAGGACTTTTGGACCAGGCTTTGAGGACTCTGCCTGACAGAGATCAAGGAAAGGGCAGAAGAACTGTGAGAGGTGCATCCTTAGAAACGCAGGAGAAATAAATAGTGAGTGGTGCTCAGACTCTAAGGAGAGTATGAGTCAGGTCAAGTCACGGCAAGGACGGGGCAGCCTGAGATGGCATTGTGGAGTGGTGGAAGCACAGGTGAACGGCCCTACTTCACGTCCAGCTGCACTCCATGCGCCACAGGGTCACCTTTGCAGCCTCATACCAGCCAACCAGGAAGGTCGTACAAATATCCCTTACTGGGCCAGGTGTGGTGGCTCACACCTGCAATCCCAGGACTTCGGGAGGCTGAGGTAGGAAGATCACTTGAGCCCAGGAGTTTGAGACCAGCCTGGACAACACAATGAGACCCTATCTCTTAAAAGAAAAAAGTAGCCCAGTGTGGTGGTGCACACCAGTAGTCCCAGCTATCTGGGAGACTAAGGTGGGAGGATCGCTTGAGCTCAAGAATTTCAGGCTGCAGTGAGCTATGGTCACACCACGGCACTCCAGCCTGGGTGACAGAGAAGTGTTAAATGCCCCTCCTACCACATGAAGACCCTGTCTCTAAAAACATATATATTTATACTTCACTGCTTAAGAGTTGGGACTTCATGTGGTAGGAGGGGCATTTAACACTTCTTAATGAGAGAGTAAGAGGGAGAGAGAGCGAGATGTTGCTGTTCATCAGGGTAGCACTTTAGGAAGATTACTTGGGCAGGAGAATGGGATGAATCACAGGTAAGCAGTAGGGAGCTCCTGGGGCCAACAGTACAAAGACTCTCTGGGGACACAAGTCAGCACTACAAAGAAGGCCCTCCCTTGTGCAGACTTAAACTTCCACTGCCACGCAGGGATGATCAAGGTTGTGGTGTATTAAGGAATATGGCAGGTCTTTTAGCCCCTATTGTCATTATCCAGAAAAGAAGCAAGCAGGGCCACAATGTGGGCAATGGCACTAGACTGTAGAACTAGCATGTGATTTCTTTTTCAAACCAGAATGTTCCCTGATTCCTCTTGCAGGATGTATGACAGGGGTGTCGCTCGCCTGTTTGGTCACCCCACAACTCAAACCCCTTACAGGAGGGTGAGCATACGGGTGGGCAGGTGCAGGAACTGGGACAAGCACTTTTGGGCTCTGGCCCCACAGCAGCATCTAGGGGTGGGTGTCTGCAACTTCTAAAGCCCACGTAGGCATGTGTTACAGTGTGCTCCTTTAGCTATGCCATCTACAGATGGCTTGTGTGTTTATCAGCTCAGTGGACCCTCTGCATTACTGCAAGGGCAGGAGTCAGTGTAACAGCCTTCTGTATCCTGAGCTCTTGCCCAGTGTCCCAAAAGAATTGGGTCACATGCGGGCCTGAAAGATGAGTGCAATGTTTTATTGACTGGTGGAGGTGGCCCTCAGCAGGATGGATAGGGAGCCAGGAGGGGATATGGAGTGGGAAGTGGTCTTCCCCTGGAGGTGGGCCAGACTCTTCTCTTCCTGACCCCGGCTGGCCTCCCTTTAGCATCCAGACGTCCCTCCTTTTTTATGACTTTGCAAATTTCTTTCATGTCTAGCTCAAAAGAAGACAGCCGGATTCTTTTTTTTTTTTTACTAGAAATTCTGGGGTACTTGTGCAGAATGTGCAGGTTTGTTATGTAGGTATACACGTGCCATGGTGGTTGCTGCATCCATCACCCCATCATCTACATTAGGTATCTATCCTCATGCTAACCCTCCCATATTCCCCAGCCCCCTGGTATCCCTCTCATAGCATCCCACCCCGCGACAGGCCCCTGTGTGTGATGTTTCCCTCCCTGTGTCCATGTGTTTTCATTGTTCAACACCCACATATGAGTGAGAGCACGAGATGTTTTGTTTTCCGTTCTTGTGTCAGTTTGCTGATAAGGATGGTTTCCAGCTTCATCCATGTCCCTGAAAAGGACATGAACATATCCTTATTTATGGCTGCATAGTATTCCATAGCCAGATTTTCTTTATTCAGTCTATCATTGATGGGCATTTGGGTTGGTTCCAACTCTTTGCTATTGTGAACAGTGCTGCCATAAATGTATGTGCATGTGTCTTTATAATAGAATGATTTATAATCCCTTAGGTATATACCCAGAAATGGGATTGCTGGGTCAAATGGTATTTCTAGTTCTAGATCCCTGAGGAATCGCCACACTGTCTTCCACAATGGTTGAACTAATTTACACTCCCACCAATGGTGTAAAAGCATTCCTATTTCTTCATATCCTCTCCAGCATCTGTTGTCTCGTGATTTTTTTAATGATTGCCATTCTAACTGGTATGAGATGGTATCTCAATGTGGTTTTGATTTGCATTTCTCTAATGACCAGTGATGATGAACTTTTTTCATATGTTTGCTGGCTGCATAAAATGTCTTCTTTTGAGAAGTGTTTGTTCATATCTTTCACCCACTTTTTGATGAAGAGTTTTTTTCTTGTAAATTTTAGTTCTTTGTAGATTCTGGATATTAGCCCTTTGTCAGATGAGTAGATTGCAAACTTTTTTTCCCATTCTGTTGGTTGCTGGTTCACTCTAATGATTGTTTCTTTTGCTGTACAGAAGCTCTGGAGTGTAATTAGGCCCCATTTGTGTCTTTTAGCTTTTGCTGCCAGTGCTTTTGGAGTTTTAGTCATTGTTCTATTGCTGCTCTGTGCGCCTTCTCATCATCTCCTTGCTCGTGGGGCTCATCTGGAGCTTGGGGTTTGGGGTTTATATGAGGCCAGGATAAGGGCCATGGTGGGCCAAAAGGCAACTTTTTGGATGTGAAAACAGAAATGCCTGTCCTTATTTAGGGCTAGCGGTCTTCAGGCTTGAGGGTGTGGCCATTGCCAGGAACAGCCCTCTTCTACGTAGTATTTCCCTGTTTTCCTGTCTGTACCATCTTCACTTACACCCTCCACTCCATACATAGAAGCATTGAGGCACTTAGTCCAGATGCCCCAAACATAAATCCATTGAGAAACATGACACATGCCCTCAGATCACTCTATGGTCACCTTTCTTAGAGCCCTATTCCCCTAGAGGTCAGGAACCCTCTTTCCTCGTTCTCTTGGAAAGAATCCTGTGCCTGATGGGGGAAGAACTGCAGGCCGTGACCCTCATTCAGGGCCTCTGACTCTCATCTGTTCATGCCATAGTCTTTTAAATCCTGGTATGTATGTACTGGAGCCAACACAAAGGAACCAGTGGAATGCTTGAAGCCCCAGTTTGCCAAGCTTTGGGTTTTGAGGACAAATATCATGATCATAGCCAACACCACTGTGCATACCATGGCAAAAGAATTCAGATGCCCTCCATACCCCTAGATGGACCCTGTGCCATGGGACTGAATAAGCCTAGAAGTGAGCACTTGCTGCTGACTGCAGAACATGGAATACACTGCAAGTCAACACTAGCACACAGGCAGTTGCCACCCCACCCCCTGCAGCGCCAGTGTACCCATGGCTGGGGAGGCCACTGCAGCAGTGTTGGGCAGCATTTGGGGGGCTCTGGGTGATGGTGGTGTTGAGCCCCTGAGCTGAGTGCTCAGCAGGAGCCAAACACTTCATGATGGCTGAAACTGGGTGTGGCCAGTTCCTCTGCTGGCAACTAGTGAGGCATATCAACAAGTTACCTGCTTAAAAAAGAGAGAGATGGCATTTATAGTAGATTAAGTAGATTTTCTTTTAATAGTTCCCAGGCAACGTTTGCTTTGCTTTTTCAACCAGCAGAAGTGATCAGAAAATGATTAGAATTTCTCCTGTGATGAAATTCAGATTTTGCATTTGTGCTGTTAAGGAGAGCTGTGTTCCATTTCATTCAACAGAAGCAGAACTGAGACATCTTCTGTGGAGTTTAGAGGGAGAACTACTGGAGCATTTACCCAGGATATTCCCCCCAAGGTCAGGCCCTTTCCAGAAGCCCTGACTCTCACATCTATTCATTTCAAAAGCACTGCCCTTTTGAACATTTTCCTCTCCTGAAATTTAAACCATCAGGAGCTCTGACATTCCCTCTCTTTTCTCTCATCCAGGAGAATCCCACTAGTAAAGCTGTTATTGAATCACACCAGAGCTTTCCATCTAGCCCAGTACTCACCTAAGACCCACAAAGCTAAGGCTATGCAAAGTTAGCTCAAAATATATGTACCTCTTTCTCTGAGCCAGGTTACATCTAGTGATGCACAACTTTCAGGCTAGGAAGAAGCCATTCTTCCTAAGGAGTATAACAGCACTCATTCTTTTCTTAGCACTCAAAGCAAGGCATTATGATGGTTCATTAACAAATAGAGATTGCTATTGTCTGCAGAAATAATGCTGTGTTGTTCCTATCCCTGAACTCCAGGAACCTACTGGCATCGATTTGCCACTGCTGGATCCTGCAAACACCATCACCACCGTCACGGGGCCCAGTGCTTTCAGCATCCCTCTCCCTATCCGACAGAAGCTCTGTAGCAGCCTGGATGCCCCCCAGACGAGAGGCCATGACTGGAGGATGCTGGCCCATAAGCTAAACCTGGACAGGTGGGTATGGTCAGGCCCCAGGACTAGTTTCTTTTTGTTAGAGCTCTCCAGAATTGATAGCTATTAGACATAGGCTAGCATTTTTCTTTCCATCTACACATCTATTTAATTGTTCATTTTGCAAATATGCATTAAGCTCTGTCCTTGTACCTTGCACTATGGGCTTGCAAAGAGTGCTAAGAGACATTCTGAGCTCACTTGACATTGGTAGATAGCAGGTTTTGTAATCCACTTTGCAAAGCTGAGGGGCTAAATTCCCCAAATCACAGAGCCATTCACTACAGTAATTATTGTTACTTATCTGTAGTTGAGCAGGACCTAATGTTTGATTCATAATTAGCATGCTAACACAGCATTGATATTAAGTTATAAAGAGACCTCTGGAGCCTCTACTTTGTGGACAGTCACTGTCACTACCAAACAAAACATGTGGCATGACCTGTCAAAGATTATGCAAGCCTGGACTAGAAAGAAAATATAAGCCTCTTGATTTCCTATTTAGAATATGACCCATAGACATCTTGTCTCTTAAATTATCTCACTCAGAGTTGAGGTTAACAAAGTTAAATATCGCTTCTCCTGTCTGGGGCTGATCTAATAATTCAGCATGAGCTAGTTATTTAGGATGGCTCACCGTCAACCACAATGGGACCAGGATACTTAAGGACAAGTAGAGAGACAGAAAGGTTTAGCTGAAGAAGAAAAAACAAGAGAAAACATATATGTAAGTCACACCGTTCAGCACATTTTCTCTTTCCCAATCACAGGTACTTGAATTACTTTGCCACCAAATCCAGCCCAACTGGTGTAATCCTGGATCTTTGGGAAGCACAGAACTTCCCAGATGGAAACCTGAGCATGCTGGCAGCTGTCTTGGAAGAAATGGGAAGACATGAAACAGTGGTGTCCTTAGCAGCAGAAGGGCAGTATTAACCACCACGCCGGAAGGGGAACCGAAGGACGACACCGCACAGGGGTCTGTGGCCGTCCAGGGGAATCACAGCTGAGGAGGAAATCCAGACGAGACCAATGCGCTTCACAGGCAAGACTGCAGCAGCCAGAAGGAAAACAGATACAACTGCCAATGTACATGCCCACTTTACTCGGACATCAGCACAGGAGTTGAGAAAAATTGTGTAAATTTGTACCTTGAATTTAGCTATCAACCTAATTTTCCTCTTAGTTGGGCTGTATGCTGTGTGGTACAGGATCTTACAGTTTCCTAGGAAACGCTTTTTATTGCTATCCAGATATATGGATAAACTTTCTTAACAAACCCAATTTCTACAAATGTTGTTTACATCAAATTGGACAGGGATGCAGACACTGTCCATGGCTCGTTCTATTTTTGTTCAAATCATTTGAAGCTGAAGCTGTGGATGGTTAGTTGTGTCTATTTCAGATTAGTAATTTACAGAGAAATCACAGACTTTTGGTACAAATTGTGTGCATCAAGTGTCTCAGATAATCTTCCCATCAGTGTTCTGTTTCTAGAACTTGTAGAACCAGTGTTACTGTTTGTATCAGGGAAGTGGAGAATCTAAAAGTGTAAAAAAGAAATAACTAAGACTCCTATTCCTTGGAGGGACCCTTCTGGTGCCCTTTGAGAATAAAGCTATAGCATTGCAGGGAAGACAGTGGTTCATGTTCAAGCATTTTTTCACAACATGCGTGTTTATAATATGCAGTATGAAGTGGTTTTTTTTTTTAAAAAGGTATCATATTATTGATGAGTATTTACTGGTATTCTAGTAAAAGGATTTTCTTTTAACTTCTATTTTTGTTAGCAGTACTGTTAGTATTGGGTATTGACTAGACCTGCCCCACCTTCTCACCTATCAAGGTGGGTATGGTCATCATTTTAATTCAACCTGCTTTGGTTCCTTGACCTTTTACCTTTCCTTCCCTCCCCTCCTTCCACCCAGGAAAGTGATAAACGCTCACTGGCCTTGTCAGTCTGTTCCTTCAGCTTGCTCAAGCAGAGCCTTTCTCCTCTGAGTCTTTCCATGAGATGTGTTCTCTGTTCAGTTCACTTAATACTGCCGTTATGTGGCCCCACGTTGGCTCCCCATGGTGCTCTGTCTGCTTCAGAGGCAGTGTGGTTGGAGGAACGGACTCTGAACTGGAGATCAGGAAACCAGTTCTCACTGTGGGTCTGTCACTGTCTCCTTGCACCACCTTGAGAAAGGCATTTAACCACACTGGAACTCAGTCTCCTCACCTAGGAAGTGGAGGGGTGGGATTAGATCATCTCAAGGTTCTGAAATGCTAAACTTCCACCGTGATGCCTCCAGTCTCATTCATCAGTCTGGAGACCACAATACACTCTGACCTAGATCATGTAAAATAATCAGCTGGTCTTTTGCCCAGGCTTTGTTACACCTTTCAAGTAGTTCTGACATGGAAGATGATGATTCCTACCTGCAATATGTTTGTTTGGCTTGAGTCGCTCTGCATCATTGCATTATGCAGTCCACTGAGAGATGGCAGCCCTTTATTATTTTCTTAGCCTCTCTTGGGACACCCCCATTCCCAGCCTTCCTGACTGCTTGCAAATTCTATTTTACTATTGTCTTGGCATCCTGATATCAAGACCACTCCTACAAGTTTATCTGGCAGTAGGAACTTGGTGCGTTTTTACTATGCACCCCCCCCCCACCTTAACCTTTTGCTGTTCTAATATTGAGTAGCATTTATAAACGCTTTCTAATTAGCTCTTTTTAAAAATGTTATCCTGTAAAATGTTAGTCAACACACTACTTTGTGTAAACTATTATGTCTCCTTGGGACGATCACAAGCTCTTTAACATAAGGACTCAATTCATTCAGCAGGTGGAGATTAAAGGGTCAAAGCCCAGTAGCAAAACCAAAACTGAAGAACAAGCAGACATGTGTTTGAATCGGAACCTTTAGAACATGACTGCGGCTTACTTTTAGGCTGGAGGCACACGCGTTGCTGAACAGTTTTGAATTACATCTTTTCTTCCATCTTTCCATGTTTCCACTCCTGTTTTGGTAGTGTTTTGATAGTCCCTTGATGACTCCTCCAGCCTCATCCCTGAGGACTGCTGATACCTTGCTATGGAGCCTCTTCTTTCACGCTTTTTGTTCCTCATCTTCTGTTTTAGACATATATTCTACAAAATCTCTCTCAGGCCAACACCTGCATTTGGATTTCCATAGTTAACATATTTGTACACTGGGGAAAGGAGAGATTGCACTAGTAAACAAGTTGGATAATGTTTGTAGCAATGAGGAAAACTAAACTAAAATATATATATATATATATATATATATATATAGACACACACACACAATTATACTTTTTTTTAAAAAGGAGGAGGAGGAGAGAGAGCTATTGTCCATTCCTACATTTTGAAATAAACTTGTCAAGATTACTCTTCAGTATCGAGGTTGTGGAATCATCTATGGAAATCAAGAACTAGAATCTGAACTGAATGCTCAAACTTCTATGCTTAGTAAAAACTAGAGGGGAGCAACTATGTAGCTATGAAGATGAATCAATTCCATAACTGTTACTAAAAACTTTTTGACTGAAAAGTCACCAACACAGAAATACTGAACACAAACAGTAACTGTTTTACTTAAGTCATTGAGAACCCCTGGGGTTCACGTCAGATGCTTTTTGGTTCAACTTCCTACCACCAGAAAAGGGAAAAGTGATTTATTTCTTGTGAGGTACTCACCTGTCACAGATTAACTCTTCTGTTTCCTCCCAAGTGAATGATAACAACTTCCATACATAACACTATACCAAATAATTTTCACTACAAATTCTGATTTCCTTCTCATTTGGAGTAAAGTAATAGCTGTTAGACTGCCTGCAAAGTTAGAAGGTCCAGATACAACAGTTCATTTCATAGGAAGTCGCGGCATCCACCATTCTATGTGATATGCCCTGCTTCTTTCTACACCACTTGAGAGGCAAGTTTGGCTGGCTTCATTTGAATAGGAAAAAAAACTTATCATTTGTGCATGCTGCCATCTAGTGGCATGCAACACAATCTACCCTGAGTTTAAATTCACTAGAAGTTACTTGACAAAGGGAATGAAAACCTGTAGCGTTCAAGGACCTTTATGACAAATGGATGTGGGGAAATTTTCACTTAAAATTTAAAATTATAATTCTTGTTCTCACTTTCTTTTCACTTCCATCACCCATCTCAAAATTAGGTCATTGTGAGCCTAGTACATCACCTCATTCATACACAACACATCTTAAGTTGCTTTTTGTTAACAGAACTATGATATGAAAGTCTTTGAAGAGTTGTCATTTTTAACATTTATAGTTTTCACTGGGGTTTGTATACTTTAAATCTCCTTACTTTTAGTTCCTTTATCTTTGGAAATGTAACAAGCATCTGCTTAGAAGTAAGTCTTATATATGCAAATGGAATATTATGGGGAAGAGAAAATTGAGGTTTTTAATCAAGGGGAAGAAAGCAGCTTCTTTTCTCTTAAATTCGGGAATCAAAGGCAGAGGTTTCATCCTATTTACTTCCTATCAACACTCATTCAAGTTTTTTAAATATATCTGAAAGGAACTGAAGTTGGATTCAGAATTGATTACTGGCATGGTGATGACAAACCTGTTAACACCAAGGTACTCACAGCTAACAGCTGTTTCGCAAACAGCATCTTCCAAATGAATACTCACCTCTGTTATGCAGAAAACCCCCATCCCGCTGTGAGCAAGTTAGGCTCTTCAAGAGCTGGACAACTTTTTGGGTGAGTTGTTCAATATCAAACTGTATAATTATCCATTTTCATATATACTGTTTTATAGATTTCAATCTCTCAACTATCAAAAAAGTAGAGCTATTTTTAGGGGGGAAAATAGTCATGAGGACTGAGTTCAGGACACTCTGAAACTGTGCAGTCAGTAATTTTTTAAAGGAATTTTTCCTACAAGTAAAAAATCTGAAAAGTCAGTGTTTTGAGGGAGGAATCAAGACTTTTCATTTCTCCCAAAGAAGAGCACCAAGGCTCCTGTCTCGTGTGTCCTTGTGTGTGTCTGTCAGGATCATAGCAGCTGTGCTCTTGGTCCGCTTACTCCTCTGTAATCCACACATGCAGACGGAAGTTAATGAGGTGATCACTGCCTCCCCAGAATTCACAGGTCTTTGCCTCTATAAGGTCTGCCCCTATGGGGCCAAGAGAATACAAAACGATGTAAGTACCTGCAAGAGAGCATAAAGAAGGTAGGAAAGGTTTACTTGTTGGGTTTTCAAGTCTTCAAGTTGAATATGAGTCTTAGCTTTTGCTGGACAGTTGTTCTGGGCAAGTCATCAGTTTCATGTGGAGATCTCAGTGCAAGCCCAAGGGTAATGAGTGAAAGGGGGCCCATGGAAACACAGCTGAAATGAAATGGAGCTTTATCCATCTTCTTTGAGAATGGAGGAGTTTTTGTGAAACAGAACATCATTGCTCAAGATAATGGTTGATAAGTGTTAGATTTTATAGATCTAATAAGGAAAATATTTTATTATCTCAAGTTGACAAAACATTTTTTTACCTTCGAGTGCCTCATAGGACCAACTATTACTCTTTGGTTTTTGTTTTTGTATTATTTTTATATATTCTTTAACCTTGCTAATGTTGACTGAAATCTTTAGAACTTTGCCTCTGTGCACTGAAGTACTGTTTCTCTACCCTAAGAGATCTATTTGTATAATCTATGGCTGTAATTATCACTTTGGAAGATTTCCTTTACATCTCCAATGATTTCTTTTTAATGGAATAAGGCAGAAGGGGGAATAAATACACTGTAACCAATGTTATGTGCACCCATGTCCATACAGGCCAAGGAAGCCAAAAAAAGTCATTAATATTTCCAGAATTGTAGTGTAAAAAACCTGTTTCTGAACAGCAGGGAGATGGCTTTGCGTAGCAGTGGGTGGGTTTTCTCTGCAGACTAAGTCTAGCAATGAACTTACAGATCCTTTAGTTTTACCAGCCTTGTGCTTACCCCATTTTCATAAATGCTATTTAACAGCCTGTCTTCACAAGGGTTCATGGCTCCTAGGTTTTCCAGTGGACCTGTCACCTCATTGTATTGATCTGTGGTAGGATATTAACGGGCTCATTCAACCAAATGTAATGTGTGCCTCAAACCTATTTTAGCATGGTCCAGGGGCATCAGCAGGAAAAACTGCCAGGCACTCCGCAAGTGGACTGGCACACAAAGCCCAGCAATTATTAGCAGCTCTTCACCAGCCTGCTCTCTACTCAGATGCTTGCCTACTGAAGGGACCTGTCCAGAGATCTTCTGGAATCCCAAGTTAGGAATCTCCGCAGAATATCATGACAGTTGTGGACCAACTAGCTTCTGAGTAGTAAACAAGGAAGCTGCCCTGAGATATAGTAAGCTGCCCACCAGCCATATTATTTGCTACTGAAGGCCAGCCTTTTAACACATTTCAGATTTGTCCTTCAACAGTAATATAAATTGCAAGTCATACCATTTAAGGGTCTCTTACAAATATGTCTAAATCGTGTGTCATTTTTAAGTTCCAAAAGGCCACTGGACTAGGTACTATCAGACCAGCTGTAGGACGTGATGGCACTGACTCCGGGTGGAATAATCCTTAGAACTGGCCTTCAGAAGATGAACCGCAGGCAGGTTTTGCTGATCAGCAGCCTAAGGATTGATGAGTTTTCTTTCTGGCCTCTGAGCACTATGG